AAAAAGTGAAGATTCTAGGTCCCGCATACAACCCAAACCTTCTATTGTTGTGGTTTTCTCGTTTCGTGCTCAAATTTTCAATTTTCCGACTTTTCTAAAAACATAAATCGAGGTATTCCGATTTAGTTTATGTCGAAACTCATATAATAATGCATATTAGTTGTCTTGAATGTGTTTTCACGTTATTTTGTATTTTTTTGCGATTAAATTTGTATGTTATTTTATCCGGATTAAATTATTAGTGTTTAAAAAAAAGTTAAAAATTGGGAAATAATTATTTTTGTTAATAAAAATGTTCATAAATTTCTTTTACTATTTTATATGTAATTTCGTGAATGTTATGTTATTAAAATATGTTGTTTTTATTTAGTTTAAATTATTTATTTGCTTAAAGAATAGTGCTCTAATAGCGTAGTAAAATATAGAGCCTTATAGCGTAGTAAAATATAGAGCCTTTTAGCGTAGAATCTTTGTAGTTTAAGTATATACTAATTACAAACTCTATCCAATTACACTTTATAAAAATTAATTATTTAATTTATAAAACAAACACACAGAACTAACAAATTAATATATGCTATCAAATTAAATATCGAGTGCGGAACTCATAGATATATACTCTGTCCAATTAAAAATTAATTATTTAATTTATAAAACTAACAAAATTCTAAAAATATTGAAATTGACACACATAAGAATTCAAGATAGCTTGGTGCTACCGGGCCTCAAATATCGAGTCTGGATCCCATAGATATATACTCTATCCAATTAAATAATTAAATATTAATTATTATAACACAAACAAAATTCTAAAAATATTGAAATTGACACACATAAGAATTCAGGATAGCTTGGTGCTACTGAGCCTCAAATATCGAGCCTGGAATCCATAAATATATACTTTGTCCAATTAAATAATTAAATATTTAATTTATAAAACTAACAAAATTCTAAAAATAGTGAAATTGACACACATAAGAATTCAGGATAGCTTGGTGCTACTGGGCCTCAAATATCGAGCCTGGAGCCCATAGATATATACTCTGTTCAATTAAATAATTAAACATTAATATTGTTTAATTTACAGTAGACGATATGGACGTACCGCCTATGCATCCTGGACCTTTCTCGGATGAGATATTAGTGTTACAAGACGATCATATGTCCGCCTACGTATGGGAGGGAGAGCTAGTGGAGCAGACTCTCTGCGCCAGGAGAGTGGACGACGTGTGGGACTTTATGAGGGAGAGAGGTTTCCATTCCCGGGTAGTCCAGCGCCTGCGTGATACGGGCTTCTATAGGACTTTTGAGATTGGATGGCTGCAGCTCGACTGGTCTCTGACCACGGCGTTGATAGAGAAGTGGCGACCGGAGACGCACACTTTCCACCTGCCCATTGGCGAGACCACCATCACGCTTCAGGATGTTCAGGTTTTAATGGGTTGCCTGCTGATAGACTGGCCGTTGCACTGCCTCAGTATATGAGATCTATGACGTGTGCCCAGTATTTGGACTTGCTGCAGCAGTTCACTGGTTTTAGGCCACAAGGTGAGGTTGTAGCTTCAGGGGGCAGTCACATTTCTGTGACAACTATTAAACAGCATTTGGAGGTATTGCACCCCGACATCACCGGCGAGATAGATGTTCTACATATTCACCGGTACACGAGGTTGGCGCTGCTCCTTCTTTTTGGGGGTGTCTTGTTCCCGAACACTTCGGGAAATCTAGTGAGTATGCGATTTCTACATCATCTTCAGCGGCTAGATGAGTTATCCCAGTACAACTGGGGTGTTGCTTGATAAGTAGGGATTTTAACGAATTTCATGCTCCTGCTTGCCTATGCTTTGATTATAAATCGTTACAAAATAGTCCTAAAAGGCTCATAAGTTGTGCTTGATTGCAGGTTTGATCGACAAAGTGACTAAATGTCAAAGATAAGCTCAAAAGGAGTGAAACCTGCTCAAGTATCAAAGACAAAGTAAACTAAGGGCAAACAGGCCTAGTGCGGACCGCACAAAGTCGAATGCGACCGCACAAGGTGATTCAGAGAGATGGCAAAACCAGGCTTCAGGCAATGTGGCTGCAGTTCACATTGCGTGGTCCGCGGTGAAGGTTCTGCGACCGCACTGTATTTTTGTGCGGTCCGCGGTGAAGGTTCCGCGGACGCACTGCCTTTTTGTGCAGTCCGCGGAAGAGATATTCAGAGAGATGGAAAATGCCAATGTGGTCCGTGGTCATGGTTGTGCGGACCGCAATAGCTGCCTCCGCGGCCGCGGTCCATTCTACGCGGTCCGCGGAGCCCAAGTCAGAGAGCCCAGAATTGAAGTCCAAGAGCCTAGCGCGGTCGCAGTCCATTTTATGCGGCCCGCGCTGACCCCGTAGGGGTATTTTTGTCCAGTGTTTCTAGCCTAGTATAAATAGAATATTTTACCATTTTTAGGTCATCAGATATTTCCAGAACTTAGCTGCGCTCGTGGGAACTTCATCTGTAGCCATTTTTGACATCTTAGCTTTAAATTAAAAATAGATTCTTGTATTTTAATTTAGCATTTAATTAATATGCCTTGTTCTTCATCTATTCTCTATTTTCTCCTTCAAGCATGAGTAGCTAAACCCATTAGCTAGGGTTGTGGCTCAACCCTAGTGAGGGTAATTGATGGGTGTTGCCATCTATTGTTAGACTGACTATGGGTGTTTGTTATTTGGGTCAATTTTATGGTTTAATCTATAAATTGGTGGTTGCAAACACTGGTTTGTGCTAAAGTTGACTTGGCGCTTCATGAGAAGGAGAGCTTAAGTCTCAAAAATTGACCCAACAAGGAATTGAGATGTACTTAAGAGAATTGATAGTCCCAATTAAAGGGTTAAACCTCGAGAGAGTAATTACCCAACTTGAACCCTAGTTGCTTGAGCTAATTTGCCTACCCGTTTGGTCTCTCGAGAGACAATTGGGCAAAATCACTCTTTCTACCGAGAGGTGTGAGAGTGGGTAAAATTGTGCAACGGTTATAGCATAAACCTCAATTATGTCAATCGAACCTTAGTAACATCTACCCGTCAATTAGCCACCTAGGTAATGTCACGACCCTACTGCCTTTCTTTCCATTAGATACAACTTAGCAATTATCTCGTAGCATAATCTAGTTTCAATTAATAGTTTGATAACAGTAGCTTATAATCAAAAAACCCAAAAATGTATGGAAGTGACATTAGGAACAAATACACAACTCTAGTCTAGATAGATACTCGACTCCATTCCTAGCCCCCTGTGAAAATCGATCCCGACCCTCATATCGGGTAAAAGCTATTGCGACCCTCTCTTCCTACCTTTTAGTAGTGTGGAGTTGGCAACGTTCACTTTTTTGTGCCGTTGCCGGGGAGCTAACGGTTTTGGCTATCTATTTAGTTAGTTTTAGGTATTGTTCTTCTTTCCTTCTTTGTTACTTACTTGTTTGTGTCATTACTCAGGTACTAACATGGCTTTAAACAACACTAATGATCCTCTTGGAAACATGATATCAGGGGAGGAGGTAGATGATCTTGAGCAAGATGAGGTGCCTCTTGCTCCTCAAGGTCAACGGAGAGGCCGGAATGATCCAAATGACAATATTCCAGACCCTCCCCTGGTTCCTCCAAGAGTGGCTCCCAGAGTATTACCGAACCAGGGCTACGCAAGTGCTATTGTCCCATCCTGAATCCAGGCGGGCAACTTCCAGATAACCAATGTGATGCTGACCTTACTTGAGCAGCGTGGGTACTTCACGGGCGCTGCAAATCAAAATTCCTACAAACATCTCAAAGGGTTCGTAGATACATGCTGGGGGAGCAAACAGACGAATGTTTCCAAGGATGCATTGAGATTGAGACTTTTCCCGTTCTCACTTCGGGGAAAGGCATTGGATTGGCTCGAGAGACTCCCCAACCATTCTATCACAACTTGGGATGAGTTGGCGGATAAGTTTATTGCCAAATTCTTCTCTCCTAGTCATATGGCGGCATTTCGAGAAGAAATATTAGCCTTCAAGCAAGAACCAACGGAACCTTTGCATGAGATTTGGGAGCGGTATAGAACGATGGTGAGGGAGTGCCCAAATAATGATATGACCGAGGCCATGATCCAACAAACCTTCTACCGGGGCATAAATACTAAAAATCAATGCATTGTTAGCCAATTGTTCGGGGGCAATTTTATGAAACTTTCTTATGAGGAGGCATGTGATGTACTTAATGAAATGGCGGACACTTCTTCAACATGGCAGAGTAGAGCAAATGTGCCTCAAGGTGACCCTACGATTATCCATTTGCATAAGGAATTACATGATCATGGGCAAGCGATAGCTGAACTTACCACTACTATGAATCAATTGGTTAAGGCACAGTTGCAACAAGTTCAGAATCCTCGCCAAGTGAATGCCATGGAGGGTGTTAGTATGCTTATCAACAAGAGAAGGCAAATGAGGCAACAAAATTAAGGAAATTCTGAGCAGTTTGTTGATGAATATGATGGGTGTCAAAATGATGGTTATGATGACCAAAGTGAAGAGGTACAATGGAGGCAACTCTTCAAACCAACAATGGCGACCCCAAGGAAATTGGGGCAATCAACAACAAAGTGGTGGCAATTGGAACAACAATCACAACAACAATTGAGGTAATCAGAACAACAACCAAGGCAACTAGAATGGAAATAACAACAACTGGGGCAACAACAACAATCAAGGCAGGTGGAACAACAATGGAAACCAAGGCAACAAGGGGCAAGGCTTTCAAAGGCTCCCAATGTACCAACAACCGAACAATCCACCCCCTTTCCCTTCTTAAGATCCTAGTTCTTCTGGTAATGATATGGGTAGAATTGAAATGATGTTCGAGCAGATAATAAAGAGGAATGCAGATTTGGATGCACAGTTAGCTTCTCACAACACCTCTATCCGAAACTTGGAGGTGCAATTAGGCCAAATCTCTCAATCATTGAATACTCGCCCGAAGGGTGATCTACCAAGTGATACAGTAGTAAACCAAAGGGTGGAAATAACAATCATGTGATGGAGGTTACATCAAGAAGTGGGAAAGGCGGTGATGTGAATGCCTCAAAGCAAAAGCAAGTTGTGGATGAAGATGTTGAGTTGCGGGATGATGATGTACCTTTTATTGTTGAAGATGTGGTTGAAGAGAATGTGCACAATGATGTGAGGATTGATATTGGTGAGGCCGAGGTAGAAACCCAAGATGTCGTGAACCCGTCTAGGGAACACGTGATTGACATGCCCGAGCCGGTTGTGCCAAAAGTCAGGGCTCCTTTAACAAGGCCACCTCCACCTTATCCTCAAAGTCTTGCAAAGCATAAGAATGATAGACGCCAGTGTGGTTTATCCTATTTATGACAGTTCGTGGACTTCTCCAGTGCAATGTGTGCCGAAGAAGGGTGGTATGACTGTGGTCACCAATGACAACGAAAAACTCATCCCTACTCGCACGGTCACCGGGTGGAGAGTATGTATGGATTACCGAAAGCTAAACAATGTGACCCGAAAAGATCATTTCCCATTGTCATTCCTTGACCAAATGCTAGATCGTCTTACGGGGCGTGCTTTCTATTGCTTCTTGGATGGTTACTCAGGGTACAATCAAATTTTAATTGCCCCGGAGGACCAAGAGAAGACAACTTTTACATGTCCTTACGGCACATTCGCTTTCTCTCGAATGCCGTTCGGATTGTGTAATGCTCCGACAACCTTTCAACGTTGCATGATGGCTATTTTCACCGACATGGTGGGAGATATCTTGGAGGTTTTCATGGATGATTTCAGCGTGGTTGGGGATTCTTTTGATGAGTGTCGAAAAATTTGGATAGAGTATTGACCCGGTGTAAAGACACAAACCTCGTACTCAATTGGAAAAAATGCCATTTCATGGTTGAAGAAGGTATAGTGTTGGGTCACAAAATCTCGAAGCGAGGAATTGAGGTTGACAAAGCCAAGATAGAGGTGACTATTTTGGGCCAAAGAATCAACAAAATGTTTCATCCGGTGAACTACGCAAGCAAGACCATGAATGAGGCTCAAAGGAACTATACAGTCACCGAGAAAGAGTTTTTGGATATCGTGTTTGCTAGGGAAAAGTTTTGACCTTACCTTATGGGAGCCAAAGTTATAGTGCACACCGATCATGTTGCCCTTAGGTATTTGATGACCAAGAAAGACTCCAAGGCGAGATTGATGAGATGGGTGTTACTTCTTCAAGAGTTTGATCTAGAAATTGTTGACCGGAAGGGTAGTGAGAATCAAGTGGCGGAACACTTGTCCTGTTTGGAGGAGGAGCGGAGGCCTTGTGACGACTTCTTGCGATGTTAGTGAAGGATATACCATGGTTTGCCGATGTTGCCAATTACCTTGTGACCGGAATAATCCCGTGTGAGCTCTCTTCTAACCAAAGGAAGAAGCTCAAGCGGGATAGTTTGGATTTCTATTGGGATGAGCCATACTTTTTCAATATTTGCACGGATGGTGCGATTCGTAGATGTGTCCCGAAGGAAGAACGATTGAGTATCTGAGAGGCTTGCCATTCTTCACCCTATGGTGGCCATCAAGGTGGGGTGAGGACCGCATCGAAAGTTCTTAGTTGTGGATTCTATTGGCCCACTATGTTCAAAGATGCGGGTAATGTGGTGAAGAGGTGTGATGAGTGCCAAAGAGAGGGCGAAATTTCAAAAAGGGATGAAATGCCTCTCAATACGATTCTAGAAGTGGATATCTTTGATGTTTGGGGCATCGATTTCATGGGTCTATTTGTTAGCTCT